ATGTGCGTCAGAAAAAAAAAACACGGCATCCAGTGGGTTAGAGCGGGAAAACTAAAAATGTTGCCGCTTCCACATGTATCTAATGTTCACTGAGTGGAATCATGCGGTTGTGTGGCTGCTTTATTTGTGAACGGTGAAGATTCATTCTTCTTTTTAATTTAAGTTCTGTCTTCCCGATATACTTTTCATTGCATCCACTACAAACAATCTAGTAAATATCATTTCTAGTATCACAAGTCATATTTTGTTTTACAGTAATTTTCAGTGTCCTTTGTAATTTGGACTGAACAGCCTTCAATTATATTGCTGCAAGTAAGGCAACGTTTGTCACCGCACTCAGAAACCTGTAAAAACCATTCATAGAGCGCTAGGCGAAACCTTAACAAGCGTTGTTGTTGACTTTGGTGTCTCAAGTGCAAGAATACCAACTTCATTCTTCAAGCATTTTCACTATGTCGGTCTCAGTAGAGTGACAAGAGGCCTAGAAGGCCTGTACATTCTCAACCTAAATAAGAAGAAAATCTGCATTAGCACTAGGTTCAAACAGAAATGGAAAGACTCAGAACAGAAGCATAATACCAGTTCAAATTGGCATCTCTAAATAACTTCAGTGACCATTTTGTAATAGTGTACAACAATTCTAGATCATTTCACAAGCATCACCCAGACTGTGTAGCTGACTTAAACTGTCAAGCAGCAGATGTCTATATTTTTTCTGAGACCAGATTAGTCCCTACAGACTTGAATAGTGACTTCACAATGATGATATTTCCTACTCTCCTCCAGCTCGTCCAGCTCATGGCACAGCAGTGTTCAGCAAGCAGCCTCTGAGGTTTTCTGTCAACAATCGCCATCCCTACCCAGAAAAGCTGTCATTGGAGTGTACAAACCCCCAAGCATTTCCGCCAGAACATTAGGGCATGTACTGATTGAACTGCTGATCTTTCTTCATGTACCACATGCCATCATTGTAGGTGATATGAATATTGACTTTTCTCATCATGCTCTATTGAGTCTCACACCAGGATTTGAACAGGCTCTTCAGGAGCCAACCATTGACAGGAGGACGCGGATAGACCATATCTACACCAATCTGCCAGATGGAAGCTTCCAGACAGGCACACTGGACACATACTGGTCAGATCACAAGATCACCTGGATAGCCATTCATAAATGATGGTAGGCTTACATAAATACTTTTGTCTTATACATGCAATAACATTTTTTACTAAGATGTACTATTTACCGATATCATATACTATATATGATGTGAGCTACATAACCTAGTACATTCTCTTTTTGCCTTTGTGTCATGAGGCTACTACAGAGCTATTCATATGCGAAGCTGCAAAGTTATTGTTATTACAATTTCATGAGATCATCAGAAAGTGAGCTACATGAACCAATATTTAATAACCTTCATTATATTTCTGGTTTTGGCATCAAGGAAAGAGATTTCCTTGCCAATCTAATAGGGGGCATATGTCATCTTCGGATGACTCTTGTTTTAAACCTGTTTAATATTTGCACTTAAATTTACACCATCAAATAGGAAATTTAATATTCCCCACCTTTGCGTAATTTTATAGCCAGAGGTAGATCCAGTGCCGCGTGAGCGCAATTCTCGCACAACCTTCACTTTTCCGATCTTAGGAAAATTTGCGTCAGAAAAAAAAACCTCGGCATCCAGTGGGTTAAAGCGGGAAAACTAAAAATGTTGCCGCTTCCACATGTATCTAATGTTCACTTAGTGGAATCGTGCGGTTGTGTGGCTGCTTTATTTGTGAACGGTGAAGATTCATTCTTCTTTTTAATTTAAGTTCTGTCTTCCCGATATACTTTTCATTGCATCCACTACAAACAATCTAGTAAATATCATTTCTGGTATCACAAGTCATATTTTGTTTTACAGTAAATTTAGTGTCCTTTGTAATTTGGACTGAACAGCCTTCAATTATATTGCTGCAAGTAGGGCAACGTTTGTCACCGCACTCAGAAACCTGTGGAGTGATTGAGAGACAATAATAGGGTGATTAAATATACTCTGTTGCAGAATATGCGGTATAAGTGTAGTCATTTATACAAATACGCATTACACATATACATATGAAATACACGATATGCTACAGTGCAAGAACAAATTCCCTGAATTTTGAGAAAGGTCTCAGCATGGGACTGTTAATTTCTTCTTAATGATGTTTCAAGCTTAAGCTTACAAATTTTTTCAGCTTAGAGTGGCACTCTTCCCAGTGTTAGTGGTCCTGGAACCCATAGTGTCAAACAGGTTCTGCACAATTCGTCCATCAGATTCTTCTGTTCAGCAACATTGTCACTGAATTTCAGAACTCTGGCATGATCAAGGATTTCGAAGGTGAACGAGGGGGAAAGGCAGATGCACGTGGATTTACTCACAGGTTATTATTGTCTGGAGTTCACATTTTGGGGCATTTCAGACACTAGTTCACCTGCACATGTCCACTTTAGTCAGACAGACTGTAACCAAACAATGCAATGAGCTGTAGCTCTTAATCCCTTATAACAACAACAACAACCAGGGTGAGGGCACAGTCAGGTTAAACCGTGTCCACCAGACAATCTCAGGTGGCTAACGCATCAAGTCAGCTCTATTTTTCAGCGCATAATTAATGTTTTTACATTTTGAATAAAAGGATTTAAAAAAATCTTATTTAACAAACCTACACATTACCAAATACAAAACTTTATAGCCCGTTCTAGACTTCGTTCCAATTAACCTGGATCATTCAACTCTCCCGCGAAGGTCGAAGGTCGTATACGATTTTAAAATGAATACATCTACAGTGTACAAGTAACTTTTAACTGTATCATATATATTCATGATAAGCAATTATTTTCGTTCCTAATTCGAATGAGCACATTCTGCGGCTAAATCTGCAAAAGGACAAACAAAATATTTCTTTGTACAATGCAAACGATACAAACGTAGCGGCTGATAATAGAGACAATGATTGAATAATCTGCAATATATCATTTGTTCTCGTTCAATCTATTGTACATATTGGAGTGATTGTAAAGTTCAAGGAGTACTAAAATGTTGTGGTATTATGAATGAATTTAGAATATGAATAGCAAAAAACAGTCACCATATGGGATGTACATTTATAACTTGTCTTCCAACACCACGCTTGTGCCGAGGCCCGTGGTCATAAAACTAATCGGTCCCATAAAAGGAGCAAATAGTTTCGCAGATATCCCGCTGTACTTGCTTTGGTTAACTCCCAATTATCAGACAGACCAGTCAAGTGTGACCAGTGTACCTGCCTGGTTTTACCTCCTAATTACTGAGCTGCCCAATACTGTCATACTGTGGGCAGAGTAAGCTACTCCAACTCGTTGAGTGAAACAGATTAACCAGATTATGATTGTGTTTGTAAGTTGCGTTTAATCTGTGTCGGGTTGCAGTTGTTTTATTAGGCAAGACCAGGGGTAGTTTTTTCAATGAAACCTTTTAGCCGTTGAGTTTGTTTTGCATTCATTTAATTAAATACATTGTTAGGTAGAATAATAACACGTTATATAGATTAAACATCTCCCTAACCTGAGTATAATCCCACATGTACTCTAAGTACCGTACTATATTACTTTGAAGAGACATTGAGTATAATCGACCAAGTCAGCGAGCCTGACCACCCGATCCCGTTAGTCGCCTTTTACGACAAGCATAGTCGCCTTTTACGGCAAGTATGGGTTGCTGAAGAACTATTCCACCCCAGAATCTTCTCGGGCCGTACCCCACATAATGGGAAGCTATGTACTTTCGAGCACACCTATCGATCTATAGAGTCGCGCTTAGATCGATGCGGGCCGGAGACAGATGGTAGGCATGAACTGAGAGCGTGTATTGAAGATATTTCGAGTTGTCGCACACAACGGACACAAGGGGAGTTTATCACTGTCAGGTAAATACGCTCTTGTACATGCCCATATACTAGTCATCTTGAACATGTATTTGTATTCATTAATTTTTCTGATTAGGTCAACAGGAGGATATGACAGTGTGGTACCGGAAGCATCGACGTACAAGTTACGTACATTTTGCTTTATCTTTCCGGATGTGCATTGCTTAAAGACCCTCGTAGACCCGTGAAGATCCGGGGTAGAATTGGTCTTCAGCAACCCATGCTTGTAAAAGGCGACTATGCTTGTCGTAAGAGGCGACTTGGGATCGGAGGGTCAGGCTCGCTGACTTGGTTGATGCATGTCATCGATCCCAATTGCGTGGATCAATGCTCATGATATTAATCACTGGATTGTCTTGTCCAGAATATAGACGTCATTATTTACAGACCGCCGTCATATAGCTGGAATATTGCTGAGTGCGGCGTTAAACAACAAACCAACCAACCAACCAAGACCCTCCGAAGATCGTAGACGGCGCCAAACTCGACTAACAAACGTATTGCGAGACTGATTCCCTTCGTTTCTCAACTCCAAAACTGTTAATATTTTGACCTCTGACCGGATAACGCAGACCCTGTTTAATAACTATCATTCAACGAATACTGGGACTAAGTCAAGAATTGTCAATTGTCACAGACGGGAAAGAAAGACCCTGTTTGAATAATCATTGGTCAACGCTAACCCGTATTGAATCAAGGCCATATTAAGACTGGTCAACGTAGATCCTCTGCGACCATGAAACAAGTTCTGTAGCTATCGCATCAAGGAGTTAATTCTTAACGTTATCACTGCATCAGATAAGACCATCCATATCCTATGCTTGTCGTAAAAGGCGCCTAACGGGATCGGGTGGTTAGGCTCGCTGACTTGGTTGATGCATGTCATCGATCCCAATTGCTTGGATCAATGCACATGATATTAATCACTGGATTGTATAATCGAGACTCGATTATTTTCAGACCGCTATCATATAGCTAGAATATTGCTGAGTAGCGTTAAACAACAAACCAACCAACCAACAATCCCAATCCAAGTTGGTTTTTCAGGTTTAAGGAGACAAAATGGGAGCTGTTCAGCAACTGTTCCCATGGTCGCGCAGGTTGTCCTCCCCCCGGGTGTTGATGGCAATGGCGTTTGCAATGGTGACAGTTTACCTTGGTTCAAAAGGCAAGTAACAGTGTACTCATCTCTCGCAGTATATTACAGCAATATCAGTGTCTGGTGAAATGTCTCTCTGATGGAAAAATGAAAACGTCTAATATGACCATCTCACACTTTCCTCCCTTTTTAAACTCGTGAAGATCCGGGATTAAATAGATCTTCAGCAACCATGCTTGCCGTAAAAGGCGGCTATGCTTGTCGTAAGACGCGACTAACGGGATCGGGTGGTCAGGCTCGCTGACTTGGTTGATGCATGTCATCGATCCCAATTGCGTTGATCGATGCTCATGAAATTAATCACTGGATTGTCTGACCAGACTCGATTATTTTCAGACCGCCGTCATAGAGCTGGAATATTGCTGAGTGCGGCGTTTAACAACAAACCAACCAACCAACTTTAATCTCAATTGTCGTTTAATTATTTTGATTGGTGTTCTATAATAGTAGAAGATGGTTTAAGTTCCACGATGGGCTTGAAAGCAACAGCTGTGAATCTTGAGGAACATATATATATATATGAATACAATAATAATTTCGCCGTCTGTTACGTCCTGACATACTGCCCTAAGCGTAACACACAGCAGCTGCTACACAAAGGTTTCCAACATTAATCATTCACTCAGCGTCGTTGCAGATTCGTCGCCATGTAGAACATCGATCAGGGTGTTGGTGAATGAACTTATTTCAAAATATCGTACAATGATCTTAGACTGAGTAATTCTATCTTGCGGTGACTTGGTTGATACATGTCATCGATCCCAGTTGCATAGATCGATGCTCATGATATCAATCACTGGATTGTCTGGTCCAGACCCGATTCTTTACAGACCGCCGTCATATAGCTGGAATATTGCTGAGTGCGGCGTTAAACAACAAACAAACAAAACAAAACAAACTAAAACATTCCAGAAGTTTATTTAGTATAGTTTATACGGAAGCCTTTTAGGGCAATGTGTTTTGTGTTGTTGTTTTTTCGATACTATGTTGAAATTTCAAGATACTAAGTTGAAATGTGAAGATACTATCTTGAAATTTCAAAATACCACCTTGAAATGTCAAGATACAGAAGTTGAAATTTCAAAATACAGAAGTTGAAATTTCAAGATACAGAAGTTAGTATCTTGAAATTTTTACTTGTGCTTGAAATTTCAACTTCTGTATCTTGAAATTTCATCTTAGTATCTTGAAATTTCAACTTTGTTTCTTGAAATTTCAACTTAGCATCTTGAAATTTCAAGATAGTATCGAAATTATTTTTTTTAAACAAATGGCCCTAAAAGGCTTCCGTAATATTATCCATTGTATGATAAAAGCTGTCGTGGTCCAGCGCTAAGCCCAAACAAGTCTGTATGTTGAAGTATACATGGTTACAACAGTTAAACGAGACAGATTTGTATCCCAATTGACCCATACGTTTACGTGACAGTTCCTGTAAACATTAATAATTCACAGTATTAACGGAATAATTTCATTTTTTTCAGTTCTTCAACTACCAGGCAAATTATCCTTCCGGAAGTCAGCGGGCCACGATGAAGCTAGATCATCACGGGTTAATATTTCAATGCAAATTATATTTTCGAAAACGTCTGAGCATGTGAAGATTTGCAACCGCTGGTGTCATAAACATCGCAAACCGGAAGTTGCGGTTGCTTGTCGTTTAATTATATTCCAGAGAAGTTAATGACAAAGTGAAGCCAATTCTGCCTTTGTCTGATCGGTGGCCTCATGGTGGAAGGTCATGTGTTGCGTGGGTCATTGTTAATTTCCGTTCCAGCGAACAATTTTCGAACCTTTAATTTGTAAGACGACCCGTGAAGATTCTGGTGTAGAATAGGTCTTCAGAACTCATACCTGCCGTTAAAGGCGACAATGCTTGTCGTAAAAGGCGACTAACGGGATCGGGTGGTCAGGCTCGCTGACTTGGTTGATGCACGTCATCGATCCCAATTGCGAAGGTCGATGCTCATGATGTCAATCACTGGATTGTCTGATCCATACTCGATTATTTTACAGACAGCCGTCATGTAGCTGGAATATTGCTGAGTACGGCGTTAAACAACAAACAAACAAACATTTGTAAGACCGAAGTCCAAATTGTTTGTATATTTACATCACAGAATACTGAAATGGTCTTTCCCTTTCTTTCCATTCCTTAGAAGGCTATCATTGGGAGTTAAACCTGTACGTATATTGTTTCAGCTGCGACTCACCGACGCGATTGATGCCGACCCCTCTGTGTATGCAAAGCGACGAAGTCGTCTACAGCAACTTTGTGTGGGAAATAACGGCAAGGGGTGGACAGAAAACATTCTCGTCTACCGCAACATGTCATACGGTGTGCTAGCCAAGGCCGGTTGCACATTCTGGATCCGCGTCTTTCGGTTCCTACACAATGATACGTTGGGACATGACAATCCTTTCCAGATGACAAGAGGGGAAGCACACGGGGGACCCAGAAAAATAAAGATGTATCGACTTCAGAAAGAGGAGGATAGACGTGTTGTCATGGCAACAACACGTTTCATGGTGTCAAGAAACCCATTTACTCGCTTGTTCTCAGCCTACATAGACAAATTATATCTTATTGACTATTGGTCACGAGCTGGTAAAACCATCGTCTCCCGCAGAGAGAATGCATCTGCTTTAAGTCTGAGATGTGGGCACGATGTGAGCTTCGCAGAATTCCTTTCGTATGTTGTAGACGTTGGTGAGCGTGATGTTTTGTCCCTAGACGGACACTGGCGTCCGATCGAGCACACATGCAACCCGTGCGCATTCAAACCGGATATAGTGAGCAAACAGGAGACCTTCTCGCAAGATGCACGCTTCATACTGTCGCGATTCGGTCTCGGATACCTGATGCAGAACTACTCTAGCAGGCACCATGTGCTGGATGAATTGTCAATTATTACAAAAGGGAACTACAAGCCCAGTGACGCGTGCCTAACCCGGATGCAGATGGCAGGAAGGTTATGGAGAACATTTCAGATCAATGGCTATCTAACTCACGGCTCAGAGGCAGTTTTAGAAACGGAATCTTCAAACAGTCTGACTGAAGACAAACTGATTCGGTTGATGTCCCAGTCCTATCTGGACCACATTTTGACTAAACAAGAGACTTCAGCGCAGAGACGAGCCCACCTTAGGCAGGCCTACGCCACAGTACCACGGAACATACTTGATAGGGTGGTCAAACTATTCAGAAATGACTTTTTGTTCTTCGACTATGACAGTTCTATAGACACTCTTTTGCGTGAGTAACGTGCATAGCATGTGCAAAAGGTGGGTTGTTGTTATGATAGTTGCTTATTTATAAGATTGATGAACGGTAAACGATGACATGTTTTAGTTCATAGGCGATGGTCGCCATGCTTTAATTACTAGCGCCCAAAACAGTTAGTACAAAAGTGGCATTGGCACTTTAGACGAAACGGGATTTACATATTAACGAAATAAGATTGTTAATACATCTTACAACAGTTGGGGTCTTGGATATTTCGTTCAAGAACAAAAGTGCCACGCTACTGTAGCTCACTTGCATAAATGCAAACAAAGACAACCACGTAACAATGGTTGCTGTCAGTGTTCATGTTCAAATATTCAAACATATGTGTTCAATCCAGTACATTGTGTTCAGAAATGGCCGTTTGGTGACCATAAATAGATTTTGCAATATGGCTGCCTAGGTGGCCATATTAATATTCAAATTCGAACAAAATAAGCTTTCAGCATTGGTTTGATCAATCAAGTGAAGTGTATGCTCTGATGTTCCAGTGGCTTCTGCGGAAATGATATTCACAGAAAGAGTCACGGAAATGCATTTACAGATAACCAATGAGCATAACACTCATCATATGTCATGGTTGTGTCAAATGTCAAGGTCATTCACTCATGAAATGAATTTGGACTAAGCCTCTGAGTTGAATGAAGCAGTGGGTTTCATTTCCGGAGCAGATCTTGAAAACTATTTGAGATATCTTTATGGAACTTAGTACACACATAAAGGTGACTATGCTTGTCGTAAAAGGCGACTATGCTTGTCGTAAAAGGCGACTAACAGGATCGGGTGGTCAGGCTCGCTGACTTGGTTCATCGTATCCAAATTGCGTGGATCGATGCTCATGATGTCAATCACTGGATTGTCTGGTCCAGACTCGATTACTTACAGACCGCCTTCATATAGCTGGAATATTGCTGAGTGCGGCGTTAAACAACAAACAAAACATGTCTATGGTGGAGCCTGCAAAAGCTACTTAGGCTCAATACACCGTTATGGCCTGAAGATAAAGGAGGATCTAAGAGCTTTTAGGACCATCCTATAGACAGTTTGTATGTGGACGCTGATGAAACGTGCCTTGCAAATGCCGCATTATCCATTACCGTAAATCATCAAGAAATTGCATCCACATCCAACAAATCAGCATATGATTGTGTTTTCAACCCTCTTCATGACTACACTTTTCCAAATATGTCATGCCTGGTGCCACCACATGGAATCAGAAGTCAACCACACATCACTGCAGCTAAAATAGGAGGTAGACCTCATTCACACTCAACAGAAACCTTCTGAAATTCATCCTGTGGTGTATCAACACGAATATAGCTAGTAACGAAGTATAATCCAAGATTCGTGTTTACAAATTGGTCCGTGGATATGCCACATTATGTGGAACACTGTTTCCTCAAGAATTCCCAAAGAACTTTCTCTTCAGGTGATGCAAACATGTGTAACATCCAAGAAGGAGTCAATAAACTTCAAGCCAGTAAAAATGAAAGATCTATTTTCCTATGTGGGCGAAAATATCATCCTGATATTACTTGAAATGAATTAGTCTATAGCATACGTTTTGACCATGTTGATTGCTTGGGTTCTTGTTTACATTAAGTGTGATGCTTTTATCAACGGTGATAATTGAGGATTCTGCCAAGGTAGTTAAAGAACTGTAGAATATGACGCATAAATCATGTAATAACCGATGTAACTATAGTTTGACCAGAAATTATGGAGAAGGAGAACATTGTAAATTAAGATTTATGAAGTCATCGATCAAGAGATACGTTTTTCCAACAATCACTGCTCACCTAAAGACTGGATTGTCTGCACCAGACTCGATTATTTACAGATCCGAGCAATTGGGATGCGGTGACATGCATCAACCAAGTCAGCGAGCCTGACCACCCGATCCTGTTAGTCGCCTTTTACGGCAAGCATGGGTTGCTGAAGATGTATTCTATCCCGGATCTTATAAACATGTAGTGTTAATAACATGTAGTGTCTGTTTCTTGTTCTCTTGATCAGCCAAATACCATTCCAAACATGTAAGAAGTATGTCTCAGTGTGTCCGAAACAGTCTTAAAGCTCGTTGTGAGATTCGCAATGGGCTCGAAGTTTAGATTTGCGATATCAAATTAAAATCAAGCATATCTTTTCCAAAATGTGCCACAATATTTCAAAATTTCAGGAAGCACCATTTCATCCAAGTTGTTCAATAATAGGAAAGTGTTGCAGAACATGGAATTGGCAGCACATTATGTAAATTCCACTACTTGACCAGAGATGCAGGTCAATTTGTAAAACAAATGATAGCAAATGAGAAAACAATAAGTGGGATGCTGAGATGCTTGACTCCCTCATTGATAACATGTATAACAGATCCAACCGTCAATCAACCGTGACCAAGGCTATTACATACCCCCACCATCAACTCATCAAAGACCCTAATCATTCATTATCCTTTATTTTATTTTACTGGCTTCACCCTTTTGTTTATATTACTGACTTCACCCTTTTGTTTATATTACTGACTTCACCCTTTTGTTTATATTACTGGCTTCACCCTTTTGTGTATATTACTGACTTCACCCTTTTGTGTATATTACTGACTTCACCCTTTTGTTACTGGCTTCACCATTGTGTTTATATTACTGACTTCACCCTTTTGTGTATATTACTGACTTCGCCCTTTTGATTATAATACTGACTTCACCCTTTTGTGTATATTACTGACTTCACCCTTTTGTTTATATTACTGACTTCACCCTTTTTGTTTATATTTCTGGCTTCACCCTTTTGTGTATATTACTGACTTCACCCTTTTGTTTATATTACTGACTTCACCCTTTTGTTTATATTACTGGCTTCACCCTTTTGTGTATATTACTGACTTCACCCTTTTGTTTATATTACTGACTTCACCCTTTTGTTTATATTACTGGCTTCACCCTTTTGTTTATATTACTGGCTTCACCCTTTTGTTTATATTACTGACTTCACCCTTTGGTTTATATTACTGACTTCACCCTTTTGTTTATATTACTGATTTCACCCTTTTGTTTATATTACTGAGTTCACCCTTTTGTTTATATTACTGACTTCACACTTTTGTGTATATTACTGACTTCACACTTTTGTCTATATTACTGACTTCACCGGTCAATATGACTACTCTTTTTGTGTACATAACAGGCTTCTCCACTCCAGTGGACCTACGTCTGATGTCTACTCTTCTGTATAAACACTGCCTCCCACCTGTATATATACCTGTCAACCACACTCAGTCTGTATATCACTTCACCCGTGAAGATTCCGGGGTAGAATAGGTCTTCAGCAACCCATGCTTGCCGTAAAAGGTGACTATGCTTCTCGTAAAACTCGTTATAACGAGTGAGTGAGTGAGTGAGTATGGTTTTACGCCGCTTTTAGCAATATTCCAGCAATATCACGGCGGGGGACACCAGAAATGGGCTTCACACATTGTACCCATGTCGGGAATCGAACCCGGGTCTTCTGCGTGACGAGCGAACGCTTTAACCACTAGGCTACCCGACCGCCCCGGTTATAACGAACTAAAATTAGTAGTCCCCTTGAGTTCGTTATAACCGTACTTTACTGTACCACCATAAACATGTTCATGCTGGGCCAGGGACTTGGTCATAGTTTGATTGTGTCTTCATGTTGGTAACAATATTGTGTACTTGAACAACCCAGCACTTAAAAGGGTTCCACTTGTAAGGAAGCGTAGTAGGGCCACGGTGAAAATGTATTTTGTCTAAGTATCTCCTACGTAGGACTTAGTATCTCCTACGTTGGACTTAGTATCTTCTACGTAGGACTTAGTATCTTCTACGTAGGACTTAGTATCTTCTACGTAGGACTTACTTTCTCCTACGTAGGACTTACTATCTCCTACGTAGTGCTTAATCAATGAGGCTTGAATAGAACACACTCTATATCAGTACTAAGTCCTACGTAGTAGATACTAAGTCCTACGTAGGAGATGGTGATACTAGGCCACTAAGTCCTACGTAAGAGATAGTAAGTCCTACGTAGGAGATAGTGAGTCTAGGCCATACTAAATCCTACGTAAGAGATAGTAAGTGCTACGTAGCAGATACTAAGCCCAACGTAGGAGATACGTAGACACAAAGAATTTCACTGTGGCCCTACTACGCTGTCAGAAGAAAAATATATATTTTTTAATTTGAAGTTTACACGATATATGGATTTCCGATTGTCTGCCACATGACAACGAAGCTGAAGTTCCTAAATGTATAAACGACACATTTTGACGTTCATACGTTTTCCACGAGACTGTATTCTTGAAATCACGTAAAGACTACAGTGCCAGTCTTCAGCAATCTGTGAATTTACCTTAGTATCTATTTGACACATTTTTTACAATCACCTTTTAATGATCGACCAATTGATCAGTGATGACTAACACTTGTTTCTCCCATAACAGGGCTTGATCTTCAATCGCCAGCAGTGGTTTATTCGCAGTGGGTTTGTTTTTTTCACCCAATCTGATTGGCTGGCTGAGAGTGGAGAGTTGTGTCATCGCGTTTTGATTGGCTGGCTAAAAATAATTGACGGCACTATTTTCGGATCGGGGATACACGAGGTCGTCTAGTACAGGAAATCCCCAGCTGGCAAAACATTACCGTAGTGACAATGTTTCCATTACCGAAAGTTGGTGACCGAGAGAAAATTTGTGGGGGAAGAAAGGGTGTGATATGTGGAGATATATCAGAGAATTTCGGCTTCCAAATGTACCAGATTCAGCTGTTGCAGAATGAGAAGACGGTAACCGAAGGGAGATACCGCATCGATATTACGGGACCAGGTGAGCAACTCCGGTACATTACATTCTTTACTGGGCGTTTTCAAGGCTAATAACAAAGCCAATGAAACAGTTAATTAATTCATGTAAAAATACCGAAGAAATAGTGAAAGAAACCATATTGTTTTAAAATAACTATCAACCACATAAGAAATGTCACGTTATAAACGAAGTGTTGATCTAGAGCCGATCGATCAAAAACATATTTCATAGTTATATTAAAATAATCGAGACTTAAATTTCATATTTTAAGAAAATAAAAACTCAGATAATTTGGATCTAAAGCAATACTCAAATTTAAAATGCAGGAAACGATCAATCTTTGCCGGACGGACCGTACATCTCACGACCAAGATGTTTTGCAACCACAGCAGTTGTTTCCCCTTTCAACA